GCAGCCCTATAAGACTGCTACAGCAATGGTAGCCAACGCATGCTCCCTTGGAAATCTGCAGTCACAGCGCCATGCTATGTACTTCCTACAGGAGTGGAGAAGAACAGGATGTCCTGTGTCAGGCATCTTTCCTGGCCCTTCAACTCAAGTATCTGCTACATCTGCTAGCAGCACTCAAAAGCAGCAGCAGCTTGTCCAGAACCAGGCTGCTCAGAACACCCAGCTGCCAGCTGCTAGCCAGCAGTTCAGTAGCCTGTGGCAGTTCCTGATGCACTTTGATGCCAATGCAGGGGCTTTGCAGATCCAGTACCGGTGGGCCATGGCCCAGCTTGCTAAGCTGTACAAAGATCGAGTAGCAGAGCTGGAGAGTAATGAGCCAGGATCCAGCTCAGGCCGCAGACGACAAGGAGAAGGCAAGATCAGGACCCAAGCCAAGAATGAGATGCTTCAGGGAGTGCCTGATAGAGAGAGGAAGGCCTTTACTGTGCGTCTTAACCGGGCAGGCCGCTACCTTGATGCAGCTGAGGAGCTTGGCTGGACTTCCCTCCTCTTCATCCCTTATGAGACTATCTCAAGGCACTGGATTGAGCAGACTTTGGGCAAGAAGGAGTGGCAGCTGTGGCTACAGCTAGTAGCAAAGGTCAACCCTGTTGCTATAGAGGCTTTTGGCATAGGAGACCAGTGGCTTGGGAGCAAAGCACTTGCTGGTGGCTCTTTGGAAGGAAAGACTTGCCTGTTCATGGAAGGAGGCCTACCTCAGCCCCTGCAGTCTGCAGAAGAAGGTTCAGAGGAAGAGGATGAGGATGAGGATGAGGATGATGAGGAAGACAATGAGGGAGAAGGAGGAGAAGAGGGAGATGAACAGGAGAAACAGCTTACCCTGCTTGATCTGATCAAACCTGTAGGTTAGTTTATCTGGGGTGCTTGATATAGTAACAGCCTCCTGTGTCACTGTCAGATTAGTCAAGCACATCTTCTTTAGCCTCCTACAAGAGATTCCAGATAGACATTACCTGTGAGTACCAATAGGCAGATCAGCCTTTAATCTGGCAAGATCAACTGATACTAGTTAGAGTGCCTTGGGTGCATGCTAGCTGACATGTTTACAAGCAATATGCAATGTAAACAAGCTCAGTAACTTCTGACTGACAAATAAACATTCAAAGGAAGAGCATAGCACTTCTGCAAGGACTATAGGTGGTACACTGTACAGTTTTTGAGCTCCTACTAGGATCTGTAGTCCCAGATCTTTGTTCTAGAGGGTTAGTTCATGCCCTGGAAACTGGCATGGCTTGTCTAGATTCCCTTGCTAGCTTAGTGGTTGTAACCCTGCTGTAGCTGTAGAAGAGACACAGTGTAATAGATCTGCATGTAATCTGGTGTTGTATAGCTCTCTTATATTCTTGTTTTGCTATTATCACAGTAGTTGTGTAGGAGGAAAGCAGCACTCTTGCCCTGCTACTACCACTACTCAATATCACTTTATATACTACCCAGGGCTCCTGCTAGCTGTTACGATCCATGAACAACTTGCAAAACAACACTGAACAAACAGGACTACGCAACGAGACAAGAGCAGCCAAGGAACTGCAGTATCGATTGACCAAGCTGTGAAGCCGCATCAGTGATACCCAGTATAATCAACACTTGCAATATCTGTTATACAAACCGAGATTGTACAAAAAGGACTGCAGTGGATACAATGTGGATCTTGTATACAAACGATTGTCACGGACCCATATACCAACCCACTGCAGAGGACCCATGTTGACAACGATCAATAGGACACCGAGGACCGAGTATCGAGGTCACGATGATACTTGATATGAGCAGTACAATCAATCCTCCTGTCAAGTATATAAGCAGGTAGACACGCTGCCCTTATGGCATTGTGTTCAACCTCGTCAATCAACTTTGTTATTGGAATCTCACCTGCTCTCGAGCCAGACAGTATACTCTGTACTACTCATTGCAACCAGTCGCCATGGTCTTTGACTTGTGTATTGGCGCAGTTCCACATCTGGCAGATGAGGAACTGCAGGTGCACAGACATTCTTGGCGCAGTTCCACATCTGGCAGATGCGGAACTGCAGGTGCACAGAC